CCCCCACCTCCTTTCCCTTGCAAGAGCTCGTGCACGGTTTCTGTCACTCATTAACATCGATGAGGAAGGAACTTAAAAAAAGAGGGACAGAGATTCTAGTTGAATTTCAGTCATATGAAGGTCAGCACAGTAATACTGACAAGCTTTTTACCCCTTGATTGTGCATGTTCTTCCTCTGGTGCTGCACCCACACAGGGAGGCCCACCTTGCAGTTGAGGACCACTGAAATTGTATTGGAAACTTTGTGGTTCCTACTTACAGTAGGGCTGACTGCTGCCACATTCAATGATAAGCTTTCAATGAAACCCTATCATGCAAGCATTATTCATACTGCTATAGAAAAGAGGACACACCTGTTCCCAGTGTCTCTCAGCTGAGCGACTTTTATAATACAGTTGTTTCACCGTGCAGATTCACATAGCAATCAGTAACATTTGAATTGAAAAGTGTATTTTCAAATGGTTTTATACTTAAAACAAAAATATTTACCGACTGGATGATGATTGTCAATCAATGTTGCGCATCAATCAAATGTAAAACTCAAGTTTTAATAAATGTGTCATGTCTCTTTCTCTGTGTGTCTGAGTTACATGTGTGAAAAATGTAATTGTGCATATTTCACTGCAGGCACGCTGCCAGTCTGCATTCCAACGGGGCTTTAATCATTAACACGAAATGTTATCTTTCTTTCTTTCTTTCTGTGGCTTTAAATGGAAGGACGTTTTGCTTTAACCTAACCTGATAGTTTTATAAAAATTCTATTTCTTTAGCTACATTCCTTTGCCTAGACTTCTTCCCCATAACTCCCTGTGCATGCAATATAAAACACTGAATCTCGTCTCTGTATCCCTTATTGGTTTCTCATATAATGAATAGCTGAACGAACACGCACACACTCTGCTGCTGTTTTTAAACTTTCCTGGTGATCAATAATCCTGATTGACAAGAAACAACAAAACAGATCACCTTCAAAGAAGCAAGGCACCACCTCCGCTTCACTAAGCACCTTAACTGCGACACATTAACCAACCCTCAGTGCTGATTTGTTGACTGCAGAATCCAGTCGTTCCTGTCAGGCCAGTTGCAGAAGGAAGGGGTGCCGATGAAAAGAGTAGGGAGGGAGGGACAAGCAAGCTAGAAAGAAAGGAGGTGGAGAAAGCTAACAGAAACCAAAGATGACTCTGTGAAACAAAATGGATTCAGCCAAGTCCAGGTAAACTTTATGATTTTATCTGTTAAAACAGCTGTTGGTTAAAGGGTAGACACTGCTTTGAAGGAACAGTTTGTTTTATGTGTTGACCACAGCAAGGCCCTGACACGTCAGAGCTCATGTGTAGATTCACGGACTCTGATTTGATTTGTTGGCTTGCTGAAGTTATAAAATTACCAACATGCTTGTCTTTATTGACTAATCATCATCATCATGTTTTAAAGAAGATCCAGTGCTGTAATTCCGATATAATTATAATTCACTGATCACTGAGTTACAGTAGGATATAGGCAGTGATTGTAAACAAGTATGACATGGTGATGAAAGCACTTGAGTCAGTGCGCTGATGTTTGACAGTAGAGTGACAGCAGATGCGTGCGGTGTACTGAATCTGTTTGCTCGTGTGAGAATCTTTGCTTTTACGATACTTTCTCAAACTGTCCAAATGAGAGTAGGAATCCTGGTAAAGTGTTAATGTAAAACACACCTGAAGCTTTAATCCTGCCAGTGTAACAATGACACCGCAGGCTACAGCTGTAAATGGTGCAGTGGGGAGTGGGGGCTTAAGCTACTGCAGGAAATGTTACAAGGTCGAAATAATGACAGATAAGTCCAGGTGTGACACCCTGACCCGCACAGCTGTGTAACGACACCTGGAGTCATTAAAAACTGCTGGTGTCCTGTTTTAATCAGTGCGATCAGCAGTCTGTTCAGACGGCTCACTGCTGGTATTCGCCGTGTCACTCTGGTCCTTTAAAGTCAGAATGTGGGTCAGTATTAGAGCATCACTCACTTCAGACAGGAGCTTACGTGTATTTGACTGGTTTTGTCATCTGGTCTTTTTTTTTGTGACTGTCCTGCTTATTTAATCTTTTTTATTGGAAGTAAATACGTTTGTCATTAAATCTGCCATGTGTCTTAATAATAATAATAATACATTTTATTTATGAGCGCCTTTCAAGTCACCCAAGGACACTTTACAATAGGATAAAACA